CCTGACATGCTTGAGGCCCCGGCTTCCATTGCTCAGCATCACATAAGCAGAAAACTGGAAGTGGTAGAGACTGCTAGCCTTGAGCTGAAGAGCTGAGGGACAGCGCCCAGGCCCAGAGTTCAGGCCCCACGACCGCCCCCCCCCCCAAAAAAAATTGTTTTACTCATATAAATTCTTTTCAACTGTGAAAATGAATAAATTGTAGCTATGTGCATCAGTTGGAATGGAAGAATCTCTTTTTAGAAGAATGTAAATGTAGGAAGTTACAGAAGAGTACCTGTGTGTATGTCCTATTTATGCTACTATAAATGCTAAAAAGGAAGCAGAACTAACCAATGTGTACTTCTTTATTGGGGACCCATACACATTACTAATAATGTAAGAAAAGTGATGGAATGATAACATTTCAGAATGGCAATTCCATTTTAGATCAGAGCCAGGTGTTGGGATGAGAATGCATATACTGGAGGCTTCAGTGATATTGGTAGTGCTCTATTTCTTACGTTGAGTTCACAAGTATTTATTTTATTATTAGGCTTCATAATTTATACATGTTTCTTTCTACAGGTATTGGGGTTTGAACTTGGGCCTTGGGCTTTTCCTTAGCTTTTTTTTTTTTTTGATCGGCCGTGGGGCTTGAACTCTGGGCCTGGGCGCTGTCCCTTAGCTCTTCAGCTCAAGGCGAGTACTCTACCACTTGAGCTATAGCGCCACTTCCGGTTTTTCTGGTGGTTATTGGAGATAGGAGTCTCACGGTCTCTCTTGCCCGGGCTGGCTTTGAACCGCGATCCTCAGATCTCAGCCTCCTGAGTAGCTAGGATTACAGGTGTGAGCCACCAGCGCCCGTTAGCTTTTTTTTCTACTCATGATTGATGCTCAACCACTTGAGCATGCCTCCAGTTCCAGTATACAATATACATATTATATATATCCTTTCATATGGAGTACTTTATAATTTAAAAAAGGAGTCAGGTGCCAGTAGCTCACCCCTGTAAGCCTAACTACTCAGGAAGCTGAGATCTGAGAATTGTGGTTCAAAGCCAGTGGACAGGAAAATCCATGAGACTCTTATCTCTATTAATCAGCAAAAAGCCAGAAGTAGAACTGTGGCTCAAGTGGTGGAACACTAGCTTTGAGCAAAAAAGCCCAGGGAGGGCTGGGTATATGGCCTAGTGTAGAGTGCCTTCCTAGCATGCATGAAGCCCTGGGCTTAATTCCTCAGCACTACATATACAGAAAAAGCCAGAAGTGGCATTGTGGCTCAGGTGGTAGAGAACTAACCTTGAGCTGACGAAGCTCAGGAACAGCACCCAGGCCCAGAGTTTTTAAACCCTATGACTGGGGGGAAAAAAGTATGTAGAATCTCATCACTTTTTTTTTTCTTTGTTTTTTGGTTGGTTGTGGGGCTTGAACTCTGGGTCTAGGCATTGTTTCTAAGCTCTTTAGCTGAAGGCAAGTGCTCTACCTACCACTTGAGCCACAATGCCACTTCTGGTTTTCTGGTGGTTAATTAAAGATATGTCTCATGGACTTTCCTGCCCAGACTGAACTGTGATCCTCAGATCTCAGCCTCCTGAGTAGCTAGGATTATAGGCGTGAGCCACTGGCACCCAACTCCATCACTTTTTTTTGGACCAGTCTTGGGACTTGAACTCAGGGCCTAGGTGCTGTCCCTGAGCTCTGTGCTCAAGACTGCCCCTCTACCACTTGAGCTTCAAGTCTACTTAGGATTTTTTTCCCCCGTGTGTGTGTGTGTGTGTGTGTGTGTTTTGTGTGTGTGTGTGTGTGTGTTTAATTGGAGATGGGAGTCTCATAATGTGTGTGTGTGTGTTTAATTGGAGATGGGAGTCTCATAATGTGTGTGTGTGTGTGTGTGTGTGTGTGTTTAATTGGAGATGGGAGTCTCATAGACTTTCCTGTCTGGGCTGGCTTTGAACCAAAATCCTCAGATCTCAATTTCCTGAGTAGCTAGGATTACTGGTGTAAGCCACTGCCTCAGCTCAGAATCCTAGCACTCTTTGCTGCAGGAGGATCAAAAGTTCCTGACTAGCCTAAGCTACACAATGAGCCTAACTAAAAACAAAAGTATCTGGTCAGCCTGTTTGTTTTGTTTGTAAATGGGGTCTTGCTATGTTTGCCAGGCTGGCTGTAGCTCCTGGGCTTAAGTGATAGTTGTCCTGCTTCATTCTCCCACTTGTGGTTCAGTCAACTTTTTTCCCTTTTTTTTTTTTGGTACCAGAGATCTGACCAGGACCTTGTATGAGCTAAGCAAGTACTCTACTCCTGAGCTACTCTCCAGTCAGCCTTTTTAATTTAACAGGCAAAGTATTCATACTGAGGCCCAGAGGATAGAGTATTATCCAAGATCACAATAGTTTCAGGGCTTAGGCAAGTATATTAAACTTTTCCCCATCAAATACATTGTACTACATTTCCCCCCTCTTTTTTACTCTCAGTCTGATATCTCACAGTTTTTCCTTCCTCTTCTCCTAGCTCCCAGCCCCTTTGCTAATTATGTTATATAATGATGCTTTATTTTAGTTTGTAATTATGTTCCCTGTACTTAAAAAGAATAAAAAATTTGTTTTTCTTTTTAAAATACAAGGCAGTGCTTTTTCTTTATGAGCCTTGATTGGTAACTTTTTTTTTTCCTACGCTACCAGGTCTTCTTAAGTGTTAGTGGGTTTCCTTCTGAAAGAAAGAGATTATCTGTTTCTGTGCCTACAGATTGACTGGGAAGGGAAGGAGAGTAGAGATGGTGATTTATCTAGTTACAGAATCTTTTTTTTTTTTTTAATCAGTTGGGTTGCTGGTGGCTGTAGTAATCCTAGCTACTCAGGAGGTTGAGATCTGAGGATTATGGCTCAAAGCCAGTTTAGGTCTGAAAGTCTATGAGATTCTTATCTCCAGTTAACCATCAAAAAAGCTGGAGGTAGAGCTGTGGCTCCTGTAGCAGAGCTATCGCTCTTGAGCAAAAAAGGTCAGAGATAGTACCTAGGTCCTGAGTTCAAGCCCCAGGACACACACACACACACACACACACACACACACACACACGCACGCACGCACGCACGCACGCATGCATGCACGTTCACACACACAGAAGTTCTTTTCAAAAGGAAAACCTCTGTTAAAGCAAATAGTAAGTAGCAGGAATATAAAAAACAAGTGACTAAATTAAATGGAGTGCTTGTTATTTTCAGGAGCTTTTAGGGGGGGCTTTACATGTTACATTGGACAGATGAGAAGATTGAATCTCAGACAGGTCGAGTAACTTGCCCAAAAACAGGGCTCTGGAATTTGAAGTCTCTCTGAGAACTTGTGCTTATTTGGTAAAGTCTTAAGTGACAAAAATGTGTACTTTTACCACATAGAAGTAGAGACTTCCTGAGTCTTAAGAACTGTAGCTTAGAGACCAATTTATATTTTCTCTTAAAAAGCAAAGTTGCACACTGGATGTCACCTGAGTAGCTTCCTCTACAGCTGACACTTGGTTCTGTGAGACCCCTTGTGATTATGCTTGGTAAACTGATTTGAAATAAAAGTTAGAAACTTTCTTTTTTGTCAGTACTGGGGCTTGAACTCATTTGTTAGTCAGGCTCTTCACCACTTGAGCTGCATACCTGGCTTGAAAACTTTGGCTTTTAGCAGCAAAACTCAGAAAGTTCTTTTTTTGGGGGGAGGGGGGGTTCTGGTCGTGGGGCCTGAACTCTGGGCCTGGGCGCTGTCCCTCAGCTCTTCAGCTCAAGGCTAGTGCTCTACCACTTGAGCCACAGCGCCACTTCCGGCTTTTTTCTTTTTGCTTATGTGATGCTGTGGAATCGAACCCAGGGCCTTATGCATGCAAGGCAAGCGCTCTACCACTGAGCCACCTTCCCAGCCCAAAACTCAGAAAGTTCTATAATAAAATAATACTGAAAAGAGACAAAAAGACCTAAAAATTTCTAGACCTTGAAGGTATTACTACCATATATATATTTGTGCCTTGTCTTTTTTATGTAAGTTCCTTCAGAACTAAGTGGAAATGTTTGTGTGAGCTTAGAGGGAACATTCAAGCCTGGCATCAATTCATCTTTGTTCTACCTTTTTTTTTTTTCTCTGCAAATGCATGGGATTTCTTCCTAGTACTCCTTCCCAAGTGTCAGGATTCTCTTCTTCATATTAACTATGATGATGTCTTCCTTAATGTCCACATTGAAGATATATTTGCTCGGGACAAAATTCCTATTGTTGTGGGAGGAACCAATTACTATATTGAGTCTCTGCTCTGGAAAGTTCTTGTTAATACCAAGGTAAGTTTAGTTCATTTGTAACTCACTGAGGAAATGGGTGTTTCTTTCATGATAGCTAGTTTTAATGGGAGGAAGGTTGACTCTTGGCTTATTTCTTATGCTCAGCAGTTGTTAATTTTCCTACTTAGTATTCTGCAGAAAACACTACCTCCATATGTGAAGTATGTTCCTCCAGGCAGGCCTAAGGGCAGGGGCTGTGTGTGGGAAAAAATATTCCTGTGGATTAATTAGCATCTTCATGTAAGTTAACAGTGCATTAGTCTGATTCAGCATTTCCTGGCTGGCAGCATAATACATATGTCAGAGAGATGACCAACACTGACTGACCTTTCTTGTGGAGATGCCTCTGTGTGTGGGGAGACTTATCCAAAGGTAATTTACCAGCAGTTCTGGTCCTCTCTTTAGTCATCCTTGCTGAAAGACTAGTTTCCTGGATATGTTAAATGGATGTGTTAGCACCAGTACAGGGAAGGGTAGCTGAGTACTTCCCTATGCAGTAATCCTTCCTTTGTTTGCTGTGGCCTCACAGAACTTAGCATAGAATATTGAAATTTTTGGTTTATGATCTATCTCTCACTATACAGTAAGATCTTCTGATACAGCTCTGTTCTTTATTCATAATGCTAACTAAGCAAAATGTCTGGCCCATACAGTATAAAAATGTATTGCATTATTAAGTGACATTGACTCTAAATTGCATTTTAACAGTCTCAAGAGATGGGCACTGGGAAAGTAATTGATCTGAAAGTAGAGCTTGAGAAGGAGGATGGCCATGTACTGCACAAACGCCTAAGCCAGGTGGACCCAGAAATGGCTGCCAAGCTGCACCCACATGATAAGCGCAAAGTGGCCAGGTAAGAAAGCAGCATGTGCCGGGGCTGGGAAGGTGACTCTCCTGATAAGCTTGAGGCCCTGGGTTCAATTCCTCACCACCACATAAGCAGAAAAAGCAAGAAGTGGTGCTGTGGCTCAAGTGGTAGGGCACTAGCCTTGAGCTGAAAAGCTGAGGGACAGCACCCAAGCCCAGAGTTCAGGCCCCACAACAGACAAAAAAAAAAAAGTAAGCATGTGCCTACTGCTCCTGAATTCTTATAGAGTTGAGAGGCAGAGAAGTTTACTTTGCCTAAGTAACAGAAGACTTGGTAATAGTGGAGATTGATATGTTCTTCCAGCTCAGCAGGTTAGGAGGCCCAGGACTTGAACTGAGACAGTTGGACTGTCTCAGTCCAACTCCCTCAATAAACAGTTGCACCCTACTTTGTTGTTACATTTTAAATGCATAGTACATGATCGTTTTTTCCCTAGGGCCTATGTAATCTTGCTTTGTTTTCTATTTGATCTTTGCTTGTATAACAGTTTTCATATAAATTTTTTCTGGCATGTAGTCCGTTTACATTGTGATTTGGGTTTCATAATTGATTGTGCAATGCTGAGTTCTGCCCCAGCAGCTTTCCCAGTGGGAGGTGAATTTTGTAAACTGTCTCATAGATCAGCTCACCTTTGCACATGAACACTGTCTCATAGGGAAGAGACGTGGTGAATTACTTCATAAGGTCATGTTTTCTTAGGTGGTTTAGAATTGCAGTTCTATGTGTTAGCTTTACTTTTCTGCCATGTTGAGGGATTATCACATCTAGCACAACGGAACATCTAATGAAGCTGTATGGATACAGTTTACATAGTACAGTAAGAGCTGGGCTTCAGTGCTTCACACCTATAAATCCTAGCTACTCTGGAGGCTGAGATCTGGAGATTGCCATTCATGGCATACATGGGCAGAAAATTTTTGCTAGACTCCATCTCCAAAATAAGTACCAAAAAGCATGGTGGGGTTATGGCTCAACTGGTAAGGGAACAACCCTAGCAATTGGGCTACAAACCCCAATGGGAGAGACATATGGAAACATCTAACAATCATAGAGTTTGTAACGAAGTAGTTTACCCAAATGATTTTTCTTTCTTCATTATTCTGTCTCCTAGGAGCCTTTTCAGAATATCTTTTCCTAATTGTACCACATTTGCCGATGAAATTTTTTATGAAAAATAATAATTTATTTATTTTTGTCTCTGGGGCTTGAACTCTGGGCCTGGACACTGTTTCAGAGCCATTTTGTTCAAGGTTATTGTTCTTCCACTTTGAACCACAGCTGCACTTCTGTTTTTCTGAAGGTTAATTGGAGATAAGGGTCTCATGGGGACTTTTCCACCTAGGCTGGCTTCAAACCGTAATCCTCAGATCTCAGCCTCCTGAGTAGCTAGGATTACAGATGTGAGCCACCATTGCCTGACAGAATAAAATCTTTCCAGATAGGATTGTTGTTTAGAGGGCCACATTTCATTCTAACATTTTTTTGTTCCTTTGGGCAATATCACTCATGTTCTCTCTGGGGTACAGAACCCTCTTTCTACCCACTGCTATCTGGATATTTGTAAGATCATTTGTAGACCATACAAAAGTCAGTATAGGCAGGTAGGCCATGAGTAGCATAGAAGCATATGTGTCTGGCCTGTTAGGTACCAAAAGATTTTAGCTGGTGCCAGTGGCTCATTCTTATAATCCTAGCTACTAAGGAGGCTATGATCTGAGGATCATGGTTCAAAGCCAGCCTGGGCACAAAAATTCCTGTGAGACTTTTTTTTTTGTCAGTTGTGGAGCTTGAACTCTGGGCCTGAGCACTGTCCCTGTGCTCTTCAGCTCAAAGGGAGCACTCTACCACTTGAACCACAGCACCACTTTGGTTTTCTAGTGGTTTATTGGAGATAAGAGTCTCATGGACTTCGCTGCCTGGGCTGGCTTTGAACGGTGATCCTCAGATCTCAGACTCCTGAGTAGCTAGGATTACAGGCATGAGCCACTGGTGCCTGGCATCCTGTGAGACTCAGCCAATCAATCACTCAATCAGTCACCCAATCAATCACTCAAAAACTGTAAGTGGAGCTGTGATCCAAGTGGTGGAGTGTTAGTCTTGAGCAAAAGATTTTAAGGGACCTTGGACTGGTTGTTTGCCACTCCTGTATGATGAAGTTTATACTTTCTAAAATCCAGACATTTATTTTTTTATTTAGTTAATTTTTTTTGTCGGTCGTGGGGCTTGAACTCTGGGCCTGGGCACTGTCCCTCAGCTCTTCAGCTCAAGGCTAGCGGAGCTACAGCGCCACTTCCGGTTTTCTGGTGGTTTATTGGAGATAGGAGTCTCACGGTCTCTTCTGCCCGGGCTGGCTTTGAACCGCGATCCTCAGATCTCAGCCTCCTGAGTAGCTAGGATTACAGGCGTGAGCCACCAGCGCCCGGCTTAAATCCAGATATTTAAAAAAAAGCATTTTAATAGAAATACTTCCATTAAAAAAAAGCCCTTAGGAATATTTTGATGAGCATTCTTTTTTTTTTTTTTTTTTGGGTCCAGTCGTGGGGCCTGAACTCTGGGCCTGGATGCTGTCCCTCAGCTCTTCAGCTCAAGGCTAGCACTCTACCACTTGAGCCATAGCACCGCTTCCAGCTTTTTTCTTTTTGCTTATGTGGTGCTGAGGAATCGAACCCAGGGCCTTGAGCATGCAAGGCAAGCGCTCTACCACTGAGCCACCTTCCCAGCCCCATTGATGCGCATTCATTTTTATGACTTTTTTTTTCGGGGGGGGGGAGGTTGGTTGTGGGGCTTGAACTCTAGGCCTGGGCGCTGTCCCTCAGCTTTTCAGCTTAAGGCAAGAGCTCTACCACTTGAACCACAGTACCACTTCGGTTAATTGGAAATAAGAGTCTCACAGAATTTCCTGCTCTGGCTGGCTCTAAACCACCATCCTCAGATCTCAGCCTCCTGGGCAGGCATGAGCTACTGGTGCCTGGCTTATGACATGATTTTTTTTGGTCGTGGGGCCTGAATTATGGGCCTGGGCTCTGTCCCTCAGCTCTTTAGCTCAAGGCTAGTCCTCTACCACTTGAGCCATAGCACAATGTCTAGCTTTTTTTTTTTTTTTTTTTTGCTTTTGTGGTGCTGAGGAATCAAACCCAGGGCCTCATGCATGCAAGGCAAGCACCACCACTGAGCCACCTTCCCAGCCCCCATGACATGATTTTAAAGCGAGGTGTTTATTCTGTTTCTGTCAGTTTGTTTCTGTCCACCTGTCCCTCTCCTTGGTTTCACATTTTGTGGTCCTAGGAGTTGAACTCAGGGTCTCTATTTGCCAGGTAGATACTGTACCATTTGTGCTGTACCTCAACTCTTATTCTCTTATTCTCCACTCCTTGAACAAATCAGTTAAAAAATTGTTATTGTTACTTATTAAGTAGTTGTATATACAGGTTACAATTCCATACATCAGGTAATGAGTATATGCTTCTTGGGTGTCACCCCTTCCTTCATTCTCTCTCCCATTTTCCCCTTCCCACGGCTACCCTCAAGTTATATAGTTCATTTTTTACATAATGTAAAAATGTAAATTCAATATCATGATTACATTTTCTCACCTTTCCTCCCTGCATTCCTGTAGCCTGCCCCCCTTTGTTTACCCCCAAAACATGCTTCCACTTCCTGGTATTCATTTTGATATTTTAGTTGTTCAGAAGAGTTACACCTTTGGATTCCTTCTCCCCTGAGCATACTGTACCCTCCTGTAATCAGTTTGGACAAATCAGTTTTTTCTCTCTTAGCATTGCTCTTTATTTTGCTGCTTCTAAACTAATATGAGCTTGAGGATCATGTTTTAATGAGTCATTAGAAGAGTTCTAGAGTCTCTCCTTTAGAGAAGACTGAGGGTTGTGTGTGTGTTTTCACCTTTATTTTGGGTTGAGTCTGCATTCTAAACTCCTTATAAGTGAAATATGTTACTTTTTTGTTTCTGATAGATCCACTTTGAGCGGTCATTGATACTGAAAGACAAGGGGTCTCTACTCTTGTGTTAGAGTTCCCGAAAACAGAAGTGAGTCAGAAAGGGAAAGATCACTTTCAAGCTGATAAGTTGCAATCATGTAGAGTGGTAGAGTATATATTTGAGAGTTTAGTTACTTAGTGCTGCATAATATAATAGACACACACAGCTTAGAGTAAGTCTGTGTATTTTTTCTTCAGTGATCTTTGTGCCAACAGAGTACTGGATTAGCCAGGAGTATTCTTGATTAATTTTAGACATATTTAAGAAGAAAGTTGATGAGCTGGATATACTACATACTTTCGAACTGTGGGAAAGGCACTCCAGCGAGACCAGACTTGTTGGCTTGTACAGAGTGTCCCAACCAAGCTCTTTTACTGTTCACTTGAAAGTGAGTCTCATTCTATTTGTGTGGAGAAAACTTAGTTATTTTTGAACCTATTTAACTTGTTTTAGAATATTGGTTGGAAGAATAATAGTATTTCTCACTTTCTATAGAATTTTCCTATTTAAGATCTTTCTGAGACCCTGTAAGATTATACTCACCCTGGACCTTGTTGGGGGGAAGGGGGAAAGATACACTATAAAAATGAAAATGTGGCTTTCTGTAACATTTGTCCTTTTTCTTTGTTTCAGTTGGGAATGATTATTTACTAATAATTTCTATGGATTCCTTCCCCCTTTAAACAACTTAGGAGCTTGCAAGTGTTTGAAGAAACAGGAATCTCTCACAGTGAATTTCTTCGTCGTCAACATGCAGAGGAAGGCGGTGGTCCCCTCGGAGGCCCTCTGAAGTTCCCTAACCCTTGCATCCTCTGGCTTCATGCTGACCAGACAGGTAAAAGCCCTTTGATCACCTAGAGTCCATTTGAGGTAAAACTTACAATGCTAAGTTACTATTTATGCAGTGTTAGAACCATGGGTGGCTCATAATAATCACTAGTTAGTGCTAGCTATTAAATTTATTATCGCAATTATTATTTGTTGACTTAGGCACAGTGCCATTCCCTTAGGTATCTGTCTGAAAAGTGAAGGTTAATGCTGGTTCTAACATGAGATGCATGGCTTGGACAGGATGAGATGAGTAGAATGGAAGTAAGATGGCTGTCTAGTGAAGGTCCAAAGGAGAATAGAAAAGGAAGTTTTCCTGTGGAAAGCATCCCATCGGAGTTGGCTGGAGGGTGGATCACTCATAATTTTAGCACAGGCCTGAGAAGTGGATATGATGATATGCTGATGGTGTTTATTGCTCAAACATAACAGTGTCCTATAATAATAGTAACTCATTCATCCAACAAAGATTCAGTGAGCATTCTAATGAAGAACCATGTATTCTATGAAGTAACTAGGTTTCAGAGACGATGCCTGTTCTTAAGGACTGCCCAGTCTGGGAGGGTGCTAATAAAGAGATGGATATACTGCAGTGTGAGAAATGCAGGTTAGAGTGCTGGGAGCCACAGAAAAGAGATGGTGATCATTCTCTCGGGAGGTGGACAGTTTGTAAAGGTGTGAGCTGGGGCTGAGAATGAGATGATTGTGTAGTGTAGTCATAAGCAGAACTTGTGCCAGTACTAGCTAGGACTTGAACTCAGGACCTGGGCACTGTGTTAGCTTTTTTGCTCAATGATGACATTCTACCACTTGAGCCACACACAGTTCTACTTCTGGCTTTTTGGTGGTTAATTGGAGATGTGAGTCTCAGATGTTTTTGCCTTGGCTGGCTTTGGACTGTGATCCTCAGATCTCAGCCTCTTGAGTAACTAGGATTATAAATTATAGGTTTGAGCTACCAGCGCCTGGTCTGTGTGAGTTTTTAGTTTACTTTCTGTGCTCAGGTTCTTCTATGAAATGGAGATAATCATAGAACATATTTCATAGCGTCAGTGAGGATTAATGAATTAATAATACATACTGAGTTGTGGGCCAGGGTATATAGCTCAGTAGTAGAGCATTTGCCTGACATGCACAGGACCCCTAGGTTAAATCCCAGCACTGCTAAGTAAAGGAGTTAATAAATGAAACACAAGATTTTTTTTTTTTTTATTGTCCAGTAGTGGGGCCTGAACTCTGGGCCTGGGTGCTGTCCCTCAGCTCTTCAACTCAAGGCTAGCGCTCTACCACTTGAGCCACAGCACCACTTCCGGCTTTTTTCTTTTTGCTTACGTGGTACTGAGGAATCGAACCCAAGGCCTCATGCACATGCATGCAAGGCAAGCGCTCTACCACTGAGCCACCTTCCCAGCCCTTAATTACAGTTCTAAAACTTGGTACCTGCCACTTTTGCTCATTGGCTAGTACTCTACCAACTGAGCCACACCTCTAACCCCAAGAGCTGCTTATTTCTCTTCTTCCTCTACCCCCCCATAAGGCTTTTATCTCCAATTAACCACCAAAAGGAGATAGAAGTGGAGTTATGAGGTCTCAGAAAAAAAAAAAAAACAGACAAAAACAGTTATGGCTCATGTGGTATAGCATTAGCCTTGAACAAAAAAGCTGAGTGAAAACCGGACACTGATGGCTCATGACTGTAATTCTAACTTCTCAGGAATCTGAGATCTGAGGATCATTGTTCAAAGCAGCTCAAGCGGGATGTAAGACTTTTTTTTTGGATGTAAGCCACCAGAAAACCAGAAGTGGCACAGTAACCCTGAGCAAGAGCTCAGGGAGAGGGTCCAGGCCCTGAGTTCAAGCCCCATTACCAACAACAACAGAAAGCTTAGGTACAGTGCTTATACTATGACTGGCACACACAAAAAAAGGCAAAACCTTCACCGTTTCCCCCAGCATCTTCTTATGGTCAGAAATGGTTTCATTTAATTACTTCAAATGAAATGTTAGCTGAACAGAACTCTTTTTTTTTTTTTTTCCCAGTCCTGGTGCTGGAACCTAGGCCTGGGTACTGTCCCTGAGCTTTTTTGCTCAAGGCTAGTGCTCTACCACTTGAGCTATAGGTCCATTTCCAGCTCTTTGGTGGTTAATTGAAGGTAAGAGTCTCATGGACTTTCCTTCCTGGGCTAGCTATGAACAGTGATCTCATATCTCAGCCTTCTGAGTAGCTAGGATTGATTATAGACATGAGCCACCAGCACTTGGTTGAACAGAATTTTTTTCTTTCTAGTCCTAGGACTTGAACTCTGGGCCTGGGCACTACGGCTGAGCTATTGTACTCAAGGCTAGCCCTCTACCACCAGTGCCCAGCCAAACTGAACTTAAAAAAACATCTTTTTTTTTTTTTGTCGGTCATGGGGCTTGAACTCTGGGCCTGGGCACTGTCCCTCAGCTCTTCAGCTCAAGGCTAGCGCTCTACCACTTGAGCTACAGTGCCACTTCCGGTTTTCTGGTGGTTTATTGGAGATAGGAGTCTCACGGTCTCTCCTGCCCGGGCTGGCTTTGAACCGTGATCCTCAGATCTCAGCCTTCTGAGTAGCTAGGATTACAGGCGTGAGCCACCAGCACCCGGCTTAAAAAAACATCTTTTTAAATTGTTACTATAAAGGTGATATGCAGAGTGGTTACAGTTACATAAGTCAGGTAAAGAGTACATTTCTTTTTGGACAGTGTCACCCCTTCCCTTGCTTTCTTCCAGTTTTTTTCTCTTGTCCCACTCACAAGTTATATAGTTCATTTTCAACATAGTTTCTATTGAGTATCACTGCTACATTGAACAGAATTTTTTTGTCAGTTGTGGGACTTGAACTCTGGGCCTGGGGCCTGTCCCTCAGCTCTTCAGCTCAAGGCTAGTACTCTACTACTTAAGCCACAGCACCACTTCCAGTTTTCAGAGTGGTTTATTGGAGATAAGAGTCTCACAAACTTTCCTGCCTGGGCTGGCTTTGAACCATGATCCTCAGATCTCAGCCTCCTAAGTAGCTTGGATTACAGGTATGAGCCACCGGCGCCCAGCTGAACAGAACTTTTAAGGGAAGGAAAATCTCATAAGTTGACCCTGTCTCCTGTCTCTTGCCCTAAATTTGGTGTTGTGTGTAGTGTGTATATTGTTGAGCCTTCAAGATGTAGAGGCTATATCTGTCTGTCTATCTATGTGTGTATTTATTTTTGCCAGTCCTGAGGATTGAACTTGGGACCTGGGTACTGTCCCTGAGCTCTTTTGCTCAAGGCTAGCACTCTGCCACTTAGAGTCATAGCTCCACTTCTGGTATTTTGGTGGATAATTAATTATAAGAGTTTCATAGGCTTTGAATCACGATCCTCAGATCTCAGCATCCTGAGTGGCTAGAATTACAGGTATGAGCCACCAGTACCTGGTTTTATTTCTTTTTATAGGTATAAGAAAATGAAGGACTTGAGAGGTTAAACAATTTGCCACAAATACCTCAGCTAGTAGGCAGTAGAGACTGAATGTAGGCCTGACTCAAAAATCTATACTCTTCTTGTTTCTTGTACTGTACTGTTGGCTAGGCAGCAGTGGTTTTTCCTTAGGTTGTTGTTTTTCTTTTTCTTTTCTTTTTTTTGGGGGGGTCTGGTCGTGGGGCCTGAACTCTGGGCCTGGGAGCTGTCCCTCAGCTCTTCAGCTCAAGGCTAGCACTCTACTACTTGAGCCCTTCCGGCTTTTTTCTTTTTGCTTACGTGGTACTGAGGAATCGAACCCAAGGCCTCATGCACATGCATGCAAGGCAAGCGCTCTACCACTGAGCCACCTTGCCAGCCCCCGAGGATGGTTTGAACTTCTGAGATCTGAGGAACATGTTTGAAGCCAGCCCAGGCAGGAAAGTCTGTGAGACTTACCTCCAATTAACCTCTAAGTATATACTTGAATGACAGTTCAAGTGGTATATTGCTAGGTTTGAATGAAGAAGCTCAGGGACAGTGCAAGTGACAAATACAAGATAAGAGTTAAGAAAGAGCAGATGCTGGTGGCTCATGCCTGTAACTATAATACTCCGAAGGCTGAAACCTGATGATAATGGTTTGAAGTCAGCTTGGGCAGGAAAATCTATGAGACTCTTGTCTCTTAAGTACCTCAAAAGAGGTAGAAATGGAGCTGTTAAGAACAGTAAACAAGGGGATCCTTCCTCACCTTTACAAAGCTAGTAAGTGCAGTTTATATAAAAATAAAATATTAGGGCTGGGAATGTGGCTCAGTGGTAGAGCTAGTAAGTGCACAGTTTATATAAAAATAAAATATTAGGGCTGGGAAGATGGCTCAGTGGTAGAGCGCTTGCCTTGCATGCATGAAAAAAGCCAGAAGTGGTGCTGTGGCTCAAGTGGTAGAGTGCTAAGCCTTGAGCTGAAGAACTGAGGGACAGGGTCCAGGCCCAGAGTTCAGGCCCCACAACTGGACCCCCAAAAAATAAAATAAAATATTACCCTTTACACAGTTGTATATAGCTTTATATAATGAGAATGGTTATGTTTTATTTTGGCCATTTTTGTTTGGAGTTGCTGAATCTGTCATATGAGTTAAGTTATATAAATTATTATCTCACTTTTCCTTGGGTTGGTTGTGGGGCTTGAACTCAGGGCATGGCCCTGTCCCTGAGCCTCTCTGTACTCAAGGCTAGTGCTCTACCACTCAAGCCACAGCACTACTTTCTGTTTTTGAGTGGTTTATTGGAGATAAGAGTCTTATGGGGACTTCTCTTGCCTAGGCTGGCTTTGAACCATAATCTTCAGATCTCAGCCTCCTGAGTAGCTAAGATTACAGATATGAGCCACTGGTGCCCAGCTATTATCTCACTTATAAAATCTGAATAGCTCTTCCATTTGAACAGATTCTTTTCTTTGTGGCAGCCTGTCCATTTACTGTGTAAGTGTACAGGAGGTACCTGCAATATGTTGCTATTTCATGGGCTAATTTGATTAAAGTTTTAGATGAGCGCTTGGATAAGAGAGTGGATGACATGCTTGCTGCTGGTCTCTTGGAGGAGCTAAGAGATTTTCACAGGCGCTATAATCAGAAGAAAGTTTCAGAAAAGAGGTGAGTATTTGACTGTGACTTTAAAACTCTCTACTCTTTGCCTTTGGCTGAAAGACCAGAGACCTAAATACTAGCTTTGGATCTTGTTTATCAGTCTTTGCCCTAGGCTTTGGGAGAGCTGGAAGGCAGATTAGTGTACTTGTTACAGTTGCAGTTTTATTCAGGCATTCCTGGGAGTCACTTTTCAAGGAAGTAATCTGGGAGGGAATGGGGAGAATTTTAGAATCAGTAATTGCTGAGAATCTCAATGTTTTCATCTGAAATGAAATGGTTCTAGAAGACAGTGTCCAAGGCTTAGTTTTCAGAGGCAGTGGCTCATCTGCTAATGCTCTGTGTTCCCAGCCAGGACTATCAACATGGTATCTTCCAGTCAATTGGCTTCAAGGAATTTCACGAGTACCTGATCACTGAGGGAAAATGCACACCAGAGACAAGTAACCAGCTTCTAAAGAAAGGTGTGAATCCATCCTTCTAACTAGTCTTGGACATCCTTGGATGAGAGAGCACCCTACTGTTATGGTCTGAGCAAGAGCGGAGGCTAGAAGAAACCCCCAAATGCCGTCAGCTCAAAACTGAGATTGCTGCCTATGTAGTCTAACTTTGTGCTGCTTTTTTTTCTTTCTTTCTTCTTTCTTTCCTTCCTTCCTTCCTTCCTTCCTTCCTTCCTTCCTTTCCTTCTCTCTTTCTCTCTCTCTCTCTTTCCTTCCTTCCTTCCTTCTTTCTTTCTTTCCGTTTTTTTTTGCCAGTCCTGGGACTTGAACTCAGGACCTGGGCACTGTCCTTGAGTTCCTTTTGCTTAAGGCTAGCACTATACTACTTGAGCCACAGCGCCACTTGCAGCTTTTTCTGTGTATGTGGTACTGAGGAATCGAACCCAGGGCTTCATGCATGCCATACCACTAAGACACATTCCCAGCTCCTGTGCTGCTTTTCTCTGTTGGGTTGTGTGGGTCTTTTCTTTTCTTTTTTTTTGGGGGGTCTGGTTGTGGGGCCTGAACTCTGGGCCTGGGTGCTGTCCCTCAGCTCTTCAGCTCAAGGCTAGCGCTCTACCACTTGAGCCACAGTGCCACTTTCCGGCTTTTATCTTTTTGCTTATGTGGTGCTGAAGAATCGAACCCAGGGCCTCATGGGTGCAAGGCAAGTGCTCTACCACTGAGCCACCTTCCCAGCATGTAGGCCTTTTCTTAACAAGGAAAGAAATGCTTACCTAAATTCTCCTGTATCTACCATATCTTTCAGGTATCGAGTCTTTGAAGCAAGTAACTAAGAGATATGCCCGGAAGCAAAACCGATGGGTTAAAAACCGTTTTTTGAGCAGTAAGTCTCTTGTTTATCATTATCCCTTGGGACCATTCTTGATAGAATATAGGTATCCTCTTCTCATCCAGAAAATGAACTTCTGTTTCTGTACCTTGCCTGGGGGAAGACCTGCCTATATAAATAAATGATTGTTCAGGGGTATTTTTTTGTGATATCCCAGAAAAAATCCAGACAAAAATGACTTAAGTTTCTATTGAGTAGTCTCCTTACACTTTGATGAGATGGTATTGATTTCTAATATATAAGGGTAAATGAGCAATGTATCAGCAGAGTTGATGTTCATGGTTGATTTTAGCTTCAGCTTTGTATCTAAAGAACACTTAGAAATCTATAGGGTGGTACTGTGGCTCAAGTGCTAGAGCGCTCGCCATGAGCTGAAGAGCTGAGGGACAGCACTCAGACCTAGAATTCAAGCTCCATGGCCTAGTTAGTATGAAGTCCTGAGTTCAAACTACAGTACTGAAAAAAAAGCTTTTGAGCCAGGTGCCGGTGGCTCACACCTGTAATCCTAGCTACTCAGGAGGCTGAGATCTGAGGATCCTGGTTCAAAGTCAGCCCCATGATCTGCCCCAAAAAAAAAAAAAAGCTTTTGAGCCGGATGGTCACTTATAAAGACAAAACTGTGCTGAGTATATATGGCTTAGTGATAAGAGTACTTACTTAGCATGCATTAAATCCTGGGCTCAATTCTTTATTACCACATAAACAGAAAAAGCCAGAAGTGGCACAGTGGCTCAAGTGGTAGAGTGCTAGCCTTGAGCAAAAGAAGCTCAGGGACAGTGCCCAGGCCCTGAGTTCAGGCCCCCAAAAACCTTCAAGCCAGCTGGGTGCCAGTGGCTCTAGCCTATAATCCTACCTACTCAGGAGGCTGAGATCTAAGGATTACACTTCATATTCAGCCTGGGCAGAAAAGTCAGTGCAACTTCTAATCTTCCAGAAAACTGGAAGTGGTACTGTGGCTCAAGTGGTAGAGCACTTGCCTTGAGCTGAAGCGTCCAGGGACAGTACCCAGGCCCTGAGTTCAAGCCCCACGATAAAAAAAAAAAAATACCCAAAACAAAACAAAAAACCAAACCTTTAAACCAGGTGCTAGTGGCTCATGTCTATAATCTTAGCTACTTAGGAGGCTGAGATCTAAAGATTGTGGTTAGAAGCCAGCCTGGGCAGGAGAGCCCCTGAGACATTTTTTTCTTTTTAATTACAGTTCTTTTTTTTTGGGGGGGGGTCCGGTCGTGGGGCCTGAACTCTGGGCCTGGGCGCTGTCCCTCAGCTCTTCAGCTCAAGGCTAGCACTCTACTACTTGAGCCACAGCGCCACTTCCGGCTTTTTTCTTTTTGCTTATGTGGTGCTGAGGAATCGAACCCAGGGCCTCATGCATGCAAGGTAAGCACTCTATTTTTTCTTTTTGCTTATGTGGTGCTGAGGAATCGAACCCAGGGCCTCATGCATGCAAGGTAAGCACTCTACCACTGAGCCACCTTCCTAGCCCCAGGTTGTTGTTTTTCCTTGTTGTTGTTGTTGGTCATGGGGCTTGATCTCTGGGCCTGGGCGCTCCTCAGCTCAAGGTGAGCACTCTACAACTCCAGCCACAGCTCTACTTCTGGTTTTCTGTGGTTAATTGGAGATAAGAGTCTTATCGACTTTCTTGCCTGGGCTGGCTTTGAACCATGATCCTCAGATCTCAGCCTCCTGAATAGCTAGAATTATAGGCGTGAGCCACTGGTGCCTAATTAGGTACAACATTTCTGAGCTTATGAACTAAAAGGAAATTAAGTGTGAGTGAAACTCCAGTATTATCCTGTGGAAATTTTTTTTTGTGTGTCGATAGTGGGGCCTGAACTCTGGACCTGAGTGCTGTTCCCCAGCCCGTTAGCCCAAAGCTAGCGCTCTACCACTTGAGCCATGGTGCCCCTTCCAGCTTTTTCTGCTTAAGTGGTGCTGAGGAATCAAACCCAGGGCCTCATGCATGCAAGGGAAGCACTCTACCACCGAACTACTTTCCTAGCTCCACTGTGGAAACTTTTAAATATACTTCTTAATCATCTCATATTTGTGTTTTGTCAGTAGACTTCTGCATTGTTATAAGGAAGGCTAGCTGAAGTTTCTGCCCCTGTCTTTTGGTACCTCTGAGTATATATACCTTATCCTGTGATGTGACCATTAGATTGCGTTCTTCTTACCCTCTTTTCTTTGTACATCTTGACAGATAGAGGGGAAGGTAGTCTCAGCTAAAGTGGACATTTTTCCAGTATAACTCTTTTCCTAAGTTTGACAATCAGTCTGAAACAAAAGGGCCCTTTTTGTAATAATTTAGAACTTCCTTCTGTGATTACACTACAACTCCCCCATCTCTGAGGCAGGAGGAGTTGATGGCATAGTGTGTCATATGTCTGTTCCTCATTCACGTGTGCTGGCACAGTCCTGGTGCTAGAGTGAAAGGCACAGCTGCCCTGTAAGTCAGGAGCCACGTTTGATTGGCCATGGCAGATCTTCTGGGATATGGTCTGGCTTGAAGCCAGAGGGACTTCCCCACCCCAGCTTGGCCTTGGATCCAGGCCAGAAATAGCAGCTGGGAGCCGAGAACTTGTTGAAAGGTGCTTAGACAGGGCACAGAAGCCCAACAAAGGACTTAGAGGAGAAAGGAAAATGTAGAGTGTCCTGGAAACAGGTGCACAGCTTAGCCAAGGCCAGGTGTGCTGTGGGTGCTGCCTGCACCCTCATAGTCTCACCTTTCCGTGTGGTGGCAGGTGCAGCCCAGTCCAGTTTACGAAGAATCTTATTTGTGGTTGGCACAATCAAAAGGCTAGCACCTGCCAGCCGTTGGCATCTCCATGCCTTTGATGTTTTTGTCCATGGAGCAATGTTCTTTGCCTTTCAGTAACTGACTTTACCTGGCCAGGGAAGGTAAGTGTGTCTAGGGGCTGGTGAAGCTATCCACAGAGACTAAACTCTGGCAGCAAGGCTGACTGAAGTGATAAATGAATGCCTGGAGCTGAACTCCTGGCTGCCTCCAGTCTCAGCCCTACTTGGAAGTGTTGTTTGAGTACTCCACTAGATCTGGCTATCAAAGAAAGGGTTCAACTCAATCGATTCCAGGGCTCTTTCTAGTTCTCAGTTTCGGTGGCTTATTGGCTCCTGTTTTTGTTCCCAGCCCACCTTATCAGCATGCTGTTTCCTGAACACTGGGCTGCCAAAGGGATATGCAAATTTGAGGCTAGTGTCTACTTCTAAAGAGAGCCGTGAACTTTCTTTCTTGCCACAGAGAGCCATAGATGTCATAGAACTTAAAGCAGGCACTTAAAGCACTTAAAGCAGTTTATTTTCTTCTATGATATACTGTTGTTACCTTTTACTTAAAAAGTTTTTGTTTTTGGTACTAACTGGGGCCTGAAGTCAGTACCTGGACCTTGCACTTGTTAGGCAAGTGCTTTGACTTGAGCCACACCTTCAGCCCATGTGCTGTCTGTATGTTGTAGTCCATACACAGGTCATAGAACTGTTACTCCATTCAGTTTACTGATTTTGAAGATTGTGCATCCAAGTCTCTGGTTGTATGTTTTAGGTATTGGCTGCAGATGAGTCATGTTCTGGGTCTTTCTTGGACCGTGGGTAGTATTGATAATGAATAGTGTAGTCAGAATGATTATTCCGTCATCCTTTCTCTTGAGGGATTTAGAGTCTTGAGAGTAGAATAGGATATTGAAGATGACCTCCCAAATTTTCTTTGTCTTATTAGGACCTGGTCCCAATGTCCCCTCGGTATATGGCTTAGAGGTGTCTGATGTCTCCAAGTGGGAGGAGTTTGTTCTCAAACCTGCTCTTGATATCGTGCAAAGTTTTATCCAGGTGACTATTAATAATGGTTGAGTCTATTGTTAGATTTTCAGAGCATTTTTATTGGCTGACACTTTTGTTACTGTGTCAGGAAACCAAGCCTTCTTTTTTATAGAATGAAGCAGCAGGGCTGGCTTCTTTTAAATCTGGAGGCTCTGTTTCTTCTTTCACATTTAGAAAGGTTGTTGCTAAAACCTGTTCACAGCCCACCTGCTTCCTGGGGTACAAAAAAGGAATCTTGGGAAAATCCTTCCCCTCTTAATATCAGAGAATTATATCCAGATCTCTTTGAATCTAATGTTCCACTTATTCTGGTTTTCTTAGGGCCACAAACCTGCTGCCACTCCAATAAAGACATCACACAATGAAACTGAGAACAAAAGAAGTTACCATATGTGTGACCTCTGTGACCGAATCATCATCGGGGACCGTGAGTGGGCAGGTAGAGTTCAGGGAAGGGAATGGAGAAATCATAAGCGTGGGGGAGGGGAGAGTCATGCTGACTTGCTGAAATTTAAAGGTCTTGGTATTGAATTGTTGGAATGTTAAGGGACTGTCAGGTTCCTTTAAGACCCTGTGCTTATATTCTTTGGAGGTTTTCCCATACTAAGGAGCTGCTTCCACATTCTGAAATGCAAAGGAAGGGCATATGACCTCTAGCTCCATCTAGCATGAGTGTTCCTCTGACTTCATGATTCTGCTCAAGAGGAGTTTCTTGACCTTTCATGTTTAGGATTCAGTGGAGGTGAGATACCATTATAAAGGAATGAAGGCAACTCATGCAAGAGACTGAAGAAGCAGAAGCACAGCTGGGAGGGAGCAGGAAGTACAGTCATTCCTTTGGAGCATGGTCTTGAGAAGCCATGCCTCTTCAGTACTGCCCAAGGTAGTTTATTGAAGTAGTGTGGTGGCTGAGATTGTGCTGAAAGATGGCAAGGGAAGCTTCAAGAGCCAACCTGTCAGTCAAATGTAGAGAGTAATAGTACCATTGGCACAAAGGCACTGCCCAGAGGCTCAGTGTCTGCTTAGATCCGCCCTCTGATAGTCACCATTCATTCTGTTGCACTCTCTTGTGGGATTTCTGTAGTCACACAGTGAAGGCCCAGGAGGTCTCACCCCATTTGAATTTAGTCACATTCCAGGGCTCACTTCTTTTAGGCATGGTGGGTCTTACAGTTTACCCAGCAGCCTGGAATCCTGCTCAGAGTACTGCTTTGCTTGGATTCTTAGAAAAGTGTTTTTTTGTTTTTGCTTTTTTTCTCCATTATCAACCAGTAGAATGATTAGGTCTATTAACTGGTAACCCTGGCAAAATGAACTCCATTGTCAGAGACTGGGGATGGCTGTGATTGCCCAACCAGCAGAAGAAGCCACGATTGTTCTTGGTTTATAATGATGAAAGGGGAAGAGAAAGAGTGTCTGATTGTTTTGTAAAGGAAACTTAGTGATTTGGTTTGTCAAATGTCCTTCAGAGAGCCTTAGAGAAGCAACATTTGTGAGTCTTTGTGAGCTTGGCTGTGTAAGCCCATCTATAGTGCCATCTGTCAAGTCCTTGCTCCCATCTCCTGCTGCCATGGAGAGTCAGTCCAGAGCCCAGTTTTTTGCCTTAGGCTCTAGCTGGAGAACAAAGCTGACTTTTCTCTCCAAGTAAATTGTGACTTCTAACCTTTTTCTTACTTAGGTTTGCTTCTGAATCCTTAAAAATGATGTTTTAAATATACAAAAGAATTCATTCTAGCCATCCCTCTCTTTAGGTATTTCCAGGTGAGGTTTCCTTGGGTGGATGAGTACAGACAGGATAGTGAAAATGAGCCTATATAAATTAGTTAGCCTATATAAGTGGTGCACACCTGTAAGATAGCTACTCAGGAGGCTGAGATCTGAGAATCACAATTCAAAGCCAGCCTAGACAGGAAAATCTGTGAGACTTGTCCCCAAATTAACCACCAAAAAAATCACAAATAGAGCTGTGGCTCAAGTGATAGAGTGTTAGCCTTGAGCAAAAAGCACACAGACAGCACCCAGCCCCTGAGTTCAAGCTAGGACTGGCTGGCACAACAACAAACAAAAAGAAATTCTAATCATCTGTTATCTCAGCACTCAGGAGGATCACAGAGTTCAAGGGCAGCCTGGGCTACATAGCGTGAGCCTATCTCAGAAAAACAACAGCTCTGCCTCTCTATGTGTTGATCCTGTTATTTGTTATGAAAGGATTGTATAGTTAAGTTTAATATATCTTTTAATATTAAATTTTGAGTTTTTGATTGTTTGTTTTTGTTTTCTCAGCACATAGGAAATCCAAATCTCACTTGCACCACCTGAAGAAAAGAAGAAAATTGGACTCAGATGCCATCAATACCATAGAAAGACAGAGTATTTCTCCAAACTGAAACATAGAACTTCAAGAGAAGAGATCCTCGGGACAGCATATCAAGGGCCAAAATAAGCATTTAAGAGATATGTTCAGTGGCCTTTGCAAAGGAGGGAGGGTCAAGTTCAGGAAGGAGGTTGCATCTGTTTGTACTGCCCTGGAACGCAGAATGCTGGACAGAAGTATGGTCTTAAGGTCTCCTGTCCCTGGCAGCAGTCTTTCAGCTCCAGTGTGGCTGTTGTGTCTGGTAATGATATAGTTCAGGGGGGGATTTTTTTTTCTTTGAACCTTAAAGGTTTGATTTTAGAAAGAGGCACAGATTGCACATTTAATACATGAGCATCCTTTTAGGGGTGAATACAGGAATTCACTTACATCCCTTAAAAGAAGGCTTTTGTCCCTGATACTGGCTAAAAATATCTGATTTGCAGATGCTTTTGTAGATGACTGAGGTATTGTGAGGCACAAATCAGGAGTTCTGGATTTGGGTACAGCAGGAAAGGGTAAGCCCTAGTGAGATAGTTAAGTGAGCCAGAGCAGCTCTTAGAATTCCAGAGGAGGAGGAACCAGGCCGAATTAGTTGTGAGCTAGAGTATAAAGACAGAAAGCTGTTGGGCTATTCCTGTGTGATAACTGCTGTCGCTGATATCTTTCTAGTAAGGTAGAAATCTATATTTTTATTGAAAATTAAATAAAAAGTTTGCCGGGGTCTCTACAATCATTTGAAATGTACATATGTCCGTGGCTGGTTTATGAATTGTGTGCCAAGTATCTTTTTATTTTTTTGCCAATCCTGGGGCTTGAACCTAGGGTCTGGGCACTGTCCCTGAGCTTCTTTTGCTCAAAGCTAGCACTCTACAACTTGAGCCACAGCATCACTTCTGGCTTTTTCTGTTTATGTGGTACTGAGGAATGGAACCCAGGGCTTCATATATGCTAGACAAGCACTCTACCACTAAGCCCACCCGAGTATCTTCATAGGTCATGCTTTCTACTGATTTGTGCAGCAGATGTGTTCCTGGAATAATCTGGATGGTTTGTCATTAGAGGTCTTTTGTTTAAAGCTCTTACTGTAATGATTTGAGGTGCCAGCAGTATTATTTATTAACTTGCAGGAATTCAACATCTGTGAGGCAGTAACTCTGACCAAAATGAATTTGTTCAGAATCTTGGGATGAGAGGTTCTAGACTTAGGTAATACAGAGGTGAGATGTGACTCTGTTTTCAAGGAGCTTTCATTTATTGTGTACATAACCACCCAGTCTAGGTAAGAAGGTATCAAGGTATATAAAAGCTGCGCAGAATTTCATTTTAGAGAGGAGAGAAAGGAATCATGGAAGAAGGAACATTTCTGCTGGACCTTAAAAAAATGCTTTTGGGCTGGGAAGGTAGCTCAGTGGTAGAGTGCTTGCCTTGCATTTATGAGGCCCTGGGTTTGATTCCTCAGTACCATGTAAGCAGAAAAAGCCAGAAGTGGTGCTGTAGCTCAAGTGATAGAGCGCTAGCCTTGAGCTGGAGAGCTGAGGGACAGCGCCCAGGCCCAGAGTTCAGGCCCCAAGACTCCCCCCCCCCAAAAAAAAAAGCTACTTTTGTGGTGGTTATACACCTGTAATCCTAGCGCTTAGAAGGCTAAGGCAGGAGATTGCAAGTTTCAAGCTACATAGTGAGATTTCCTCCTCTCCCCCCAAAAAATGCCCCAAAGGTTTTGCTCAAATTGTTGTTATGGGGGCAGAGGCCCAATGAAGAGTACAGCCAACAAGTGACAGGGCTGGACTTGAGATAAGCAGCTAGACTGGAGCTCTTAAGTGCTGGGTTAAGCTGGCTGCTTTTAAGGAGGAAGTTTAGTCTCCGAAATGTTCTTCACTCAAGTTGCTAAATATGTTTAATGCTTTAAAAAGTCTCAATGGACAAACAGGAAGAACTAGTTCTAATAATCCTGCTTCATAAAGCTTTTAATCCTTCCATCTAAAATACCAGGGCAGTAACTTCTCACTGAATTCACTGCTATCTCTGCCAGTTGGATTTCAGGAATCCCCCCCTTCCCCAAAAGAAAAAAAAAAATCAAAGTGCATATATATATTTTTTAATTTTTTGCCAGTCCTAGGGATTGAACTCAGGGCCTGGGCACTATCCCTGAGCTTCTCTTGCTCAAGGCTAGCACTCTACTTACCACTTGAGCCACAGTGCCATTTCCAGCTTTTTCTGTGTATGTGGTACTGAGGAATCAAACCCAGGGCTTCATGCATGCTAGGCAAGCACTCTACCACTAAACTACATTCCCAGCCCATACCTAATGTTTTTTTATTAAACGCCTGCTAAATTAAAGGCACTGTGATTGAGCTCACTGCTCACATTTTTTTTTTTAATTCACATTCTTAGAAACTGTCGTATCAGCAAGATGAAATTTATTCCAGCATCACCACAAAAGATCCTGGGCAAGATAGAACATTAGGAATCTGCTAAGTGCCCAGGTATGAATGAGGATGGGTCCCCTCAGCCTGCTTCTCTCTGGGGACTAATGATGAAGGCAGGAGAGGATTCTTTTGTGCTTTGTAATTGTCTTCCAGGTAGAGATGAAACAGTCCTTAGCATCTTTTTGTATAGTTGCGAAACTGAGACCCGAAGCAAATATGTTACTGTCATGGTAAAGTTGGGATAATCTTTAAATCACTTCCCTCACCAGCTCCTAAATCTCATGCCAATTTTTCTTTGATAACTAGGAATTCCCATTGAGACCTACTTGGGCTGTTTGTTCAGCCTGCAGTGAGGATAAGGAATGCACCAACTGGCCTTAGCTAGTCCCCAGAGAAGCAGAGCCTTTCAGTCTAGATACTCAGTCTCCAGGCCATCAGCAGTGCTATCTAGATGGCTCTGGGAATTCATTTCAACATTTTGTGAGGCATTAGGTTCCTCTACCTCTGTGAGTAGAAATCTTGATTTGTCTTCTTGCAGTTAGTACTTCTTGTTATTTAAACAATGTTGTTTCAAATGGGCAAAGGAACTTCAGTCTCAAGAGTTGGTGTTTTCTTTTTTGTTGTCATTTTTTGTTTTATATGTATGTGTGCTATTACTGGGGCTTGACCTTGAGGCCTGGACACTGACCTTTAGTTTTTTTATTCAAGGCTAGCTCTACTGCTTGAGCCACTGTTCCACATTCCAACTTTTGGTATTTAATTGGAGATAATAAAGTGTCTCATAGACTTAGGAAAGTCTGAGCTGGCCTTGAACCACACTCCTCAGATCTTAGTCTTTTGAATAGCTAAGATTACAGGAGTGAACCACTGGCATCTAGCTGATAGTTGGATTTGTAATTTTCAAATACTTAATCTTTAGGCTTAAGCAGAGTTCATCTATAGTCCCCAGTTCATGATCTGAACCTTTATTTTTATTTTTATTTTTTGGGTCCGGTCCTGGGGCCTGAACTCTGGGGCCTGGGCGCTGTCCTTCAGCTCTTCAGCTCAAGGCTAGCGTTCTACCACTTGAGCCACAGTGCCACTTCTGGCTTTTTTTCTTTTTGCTTATGTGGTGCTGAGGAATCGAACCCAGGGTCTCAGGCATGCAAGGCAAGTGCTCTACCATTGAGCCACCTTCCCAGCCCCGATCTGACCCTTTATAACTCTCAGTAATTATTTGTACTCCTAGCCTCACTTCCCCATTTAGTAAAGAAGATTTTTCTACTTACAAACACACACACACCACCACCACTACCATAAAGGATAGGAGAGTAACGCAGGGCAGTGTGCTTGCTTCATCTGCTTCTTCTGGTTAAAACCAAAGTCTTAATAAGCTAATATCTAACACCTGTAATCCTAGCTACTCAGGAGTCTGAGATCTAAGGATTGAGGTTCAAAGACAGACCAAGCAGGACAGTCCTTGGGACTCTTATCTCTAATTAACTACCAGATAACCAGAAGTGGATCTGTGGCTCAAAGCAATAGCTTTAAGCAAAAGAGCTCATAGACAGCGCCTAGACCCTGAGTTCAAGCCCCACAACTGACCCCCCCCCAAAAAAAAAGACTGGTTTTGATCAGCCACACTGCAAGAAAACAAAATCACACAGCATATGAAAGGCCAACAACAGAAGTAATATATATCTGTGTATACATGCACACACAGAGCAAGTTTTTATGAGTGCACTGACTATGTCCAGAGCACCAACAGCTTAATATTGACTAAAATTAATTGCATAAAAGCTAAATGGGTCTCTTAAGTAATCTGATTCAACCATTAAATACTCTATAAACAGGCTGAAGAAGTCTTGGTACAGTAGCCCCAGGTAGGAATTTCAATATTTGATTATCACCTACTTGGTGGGTTAGGGGTGTTTTCTAAAATGTGGGCTAAAGCTTTTCTGAATATGTACAAAGGCAGATAAATGGTTGTTTTAGTTAAAGTAAAAGGCTAAGCTGCTGTAACAAAGAGACTCAACAATGCAGTGGCTTAGAGAACAAAGCAGTTGATTATTTCTCCCGTAACAGCTCTGAGTTAGTCTTTCTGAAAAGAGTGGTCCAGGTCAGTGGGGCAGCTCTGTTCCAGATGGTCATTCAGGGACACGGTTTCCTTGTATCACGTTGCTTTTCCATCCTGTAGTGCATTATTCTCTTCCGCACTTGAAGCTGGGTCATCCCTGGTCCCAGCCAGTGGGAAGGGGAAAGGGAGGAGGCAGGAGGCACGCCTGTTGCCTGAAGGCCTGGACCCTGCAGTGGCATGCCTTCATCCACTCACTTTCCATTGGCAGGAATTTAGTCATATGGCCACACCTACCTGCCAGGGAGCCTGAGAAAAGGAATCAAGCCCTGTGCCAAGAAAGAATGGGAGAACAGATTTTGGTGGACAACTTGCAATCTCCACTAAATTGATAGCAGAAAGAACACTGAATTCCAACCTCATTTAACTAATTAGCTGTTAGTTTGCTAAGGGCAAATCTATTTTCTCCATCTGTGAAATTAGTGAGTCGTATGAACTGACCTCTTGAAATATTTCAAAAAGTAAAGCTTGACAAAATCCTAGCTGGTAAAACTTGTTCAAAACAAGAATTTAGAAAAGCACTAACAGAGACTATTAGTCTGTGTGAACCTCCAGGTCAATAGCAACTGTACCAAAAATGGTAAGGAGGGAAGATGGAAAGTGTTTTGGAGGTATTGTAGAATAACCAGACTAGTGGCTAGCTACTGCC